CTAAAGCTATTATGTATGATTCTATATTATCTAAAGCTATTCTGTATGATTCTATATTATCTAAAGCTATTCTGTATGATTCAATATTATCTAAAGCTATTCTGTATGAGTATTTATTACCTAAAGGCATTCTAACATTAGTTAAGCCTTTATTAAGTATGGCCAATATTTGATAAAGAGATTAATTAACACTGCAACTTGTGTGCATGTTTTGCTTAATACTAACAATAAATACACTTATAACGTTATTCAACGATATAACGCTAGACCTTTTAAAATTATTTGATATTTTGTTGTGCATGCACATTTAGATAGTAAGGTGCGCACGTATTTTTAAGACAGATAAAAGCTGGGTAATATTATAATATACTATCTAAAGATATCCTTTATAATTCTGTAGTATCTAGAAAAACTAAAAATTAATAATGACTAAACTTCTACTAATTACTAATAAAGCATTTTTGACACCTTGAGCATAATATAGGCAAACTCCATGTATTTCTTTGTTATGTAAAGACTTTTGACATTATAAAAAATAAATCCAACTTTAAATGTAATTATCTTCATCAGCGAACATATTCCACAACCTATAATTAATGTTTTGTTCCCTTAAATACATCTGAGTTTTCTAAATTCTATTAAACAGTAATTAATGCTATATTATGAATCACGATAGGGGTCGCAAGGAATTGTTTTTTGTTTTGTTTTTGAATTTCGTGCAAAGCTACACGAGGGCTATCTGCGCTAGCCGTCCCTAATTTAGCAGTGTAAGACTAGAGGGAAGGCAGCTAGTCATCACCACCCACCGCCAACTCTTGGGCTACTCTTTTACCAACGAATAGTGGGATTGACCGCACATTATAACGCCACCACGGCTGAAAGGGCGAGCATGTTTGGTGTGACAGGGATTCGAACCCGCGACCTTCAGATTGTGAGTCGAGTGCCTTAACCACCTGGCCATGCCGGGCCCGCAAGGAATTGCACAAAACTCTAATAGAACGTTCAGGCAAAAAGCACCTTAAACAGTAAATATTCAGTTTAAACAATCCTCTAAAATTTTTAGCATTGACTGCTAAGACTGTACACATACAAAAATGTACAAAAAAGCACGCATGTTAAACTTGCAAGGAAAATAAAATCCGCTCAAAACTGCCAGTTTGTAATTACTATTATTATTATTCTCTTGCCAACCTACAACAAAAATGGCTTGGTATATTGCACCCAAACCTTTTGTATAATACTAAATAAGTACTGCGAAGGTCGTAGGCGTATTGAAAAGTTGATTTGTTTCTTCTATATTTTACATAAGCTAAAAACATCATACTTCTAGTGTAAATGATGTTATCATTACCTCTTGAAGTTAGCTTTTAAAAAATATCTGGTGTTTCTTTACTAGCCACTAACAGATGAACATTAGATGACTGTAACATGTAGATATTCAATGCTTTGTACACTATACAATCGGTGTCTTTAGGTAGTCAATCCCTATATTATGTATGAAGTGAAAGAGTAAAAAAAAATCAATACACATAATTTAAATTTTATTACACAAATTCGTAAAATAATTACCTTAAAATACACGAAGGTATATTTAAAGCAATGTTCTAAACATATATGTTTTATTTGAAAAGGCTGCTTTTCTACTGGTAAAATTTTTGTTCGCGCTTAATGAGGCTTGTATCTTAGTCTAAACATATATTTGCCCATTGCTACGCATTATACATCGAGAAATTAGTTACACAGTAACTAAAAATTCTCACTATATTCCCAAACAAATCTCCATGACAATCTCCAGCTACAGCTTAACATTTTACATCTCGAACTAATGCGATCAAATGGTCAATAGCTACATTAAACCATCATGTACCGTATCAGCTAGCTACTAGCTATGTTTATTATCATTACAATGCATGAAGTTAGCTACCATATCAAGTAACTATTTGCCCATAGTTGAGCATATAAAAGCCAGCAAACAAGGTAAATAAAAAGATTGGGAATTTAAAAAAACTGCAAATAGAGATCGTAAAAAACAAGGAAACAAGGCTGGAGATACTTTGTACATTATTTATTCAAACTACAAATTCCTATTTTGACTCCACCAAATGTAATTCTAGGTAACAGCATGGAGCCAAAATATGGGTTTGTAGTTTGAGTAAATAATGTCCAAAGTATCTCTAGCCTTGTTTACTTACTTTTTTTACGATCCTTATTTGCAAGTTTTTAATTTATCCTGTTCCCTTAGATCTCAGCTGAGTTTTCTGAACTGTATTAACCATTAATTAATGCTATATTCCTTTAAGTCTCAGCTGCGTTTTTCAAACACCATTAAACGTTAATAAATACTGTGTTCCCTCAGATGTCAATTGAGTTATCCAAATAGCTATTAAGTTATTCTATTTGGTGTTTTATAATTCTGTAGAAAAGTTTACTTTTTCAAATGTAACGATTAAACATTTTGTACCTAGTTTTAAAAAGTTTAGTTATATTAATGTTTAATTCATAAGCAATTCGAATATCAGAATACGTTCTTTATCATTATTAATATTAACTCTCAATTTAAACGTAATTAACGTGAGGGCGTATCCTTTTTACAAAATAATTAACAAATAAAAACATATGGTCCTATCTTTTCAACATATTCGGTGTTGTGAATGTAATATAACATTTAGTTAATGATCACGTTTTGGTTTTTCATCTTTACAAATGTATTATAGCTTAGTACTAGTCCTACATGAATCTTATTTTGTCATACCTTACTCTTCACAATTGTGCATTTCAATCTGATAGAACATGCTACATTTGAAAGTCAACAACCTTACTGCACTGTTAAATGGTTACACAGTAAAGAATAAAAAATAGAATAAAGGCCAAATAATGCTTTTATTCCTATATTAAAAATACACGTGAATATAAACACCTTAAAGATGATGAAATTTTGTCAGGTGATCAACTTTCATACTAACATACTCTTTATCTAAAAATGTACAATGTGATGTAAGATAATTTAATAATAAGAATATATCTTTAAATCCCGTTAAGCCTTTTAATAATCAACGCGACAACAGAAAATGAAATGTTTTGTAGTAACTTACTAAAGCCGTTGCCGTGCAAAATGCCGGAGTGTTTAGCTTTGGAACAATGCCATAGCTGCTCGGGTCTGTGGAGTAAGGTGAACCATTATACAGCGGAGAAGAACCTGTCATTGCCGTTGACAGTTGAGGGTAAGACGAAATCAGACGGTTCTCGAAAGGAAGTGGACAAACACCCGGCGCTGTATGTGATGGACCATCCGTCGTCAAACTTGCACGCGTACCGTCACAAAATACCGGGCCTGTCTGTCCTGAACTCCCAATAATCTAGCAAGAGAAATAACAAGGTGATATCTAATTAATGTTATCTTGTTTAATACGAAGACATAATGTAGTAATATGTGCATACATACAAACAATAGGAGACGAAATTCAGCCAATACTTTAAACGTAATCACAACTATGTTTCTTTCCTCGTCACAAGTTCAAAATGTTTGCATCTTCGCCACAAATATAAAAAAATAATAATAAAGTTTATAAAACACTACACATCTATAAAGTGTCTTTTTACGTTGGTCTCTCTTTTCAGTGTACCCAATAATGTATGGATTATTATAATTGGAACGTCAAGTTTCTCACATGACTTCGCAAGTCACCAACAGTCAGGGATCTGTCACTTAATTCTTCACGGATTAAATTCTATATACTAACGCCTTAATGTTGGGTATTAGATAGGCAGTATCTGATATTTGTAAGTTTATTGGACACATAAACTGTCTGAATGGTATTTACAAACACGAGTTATTTTCCTACAGGATATCTCTTATGTTTTTACAAATAAAAGTCAAGTAGCCTTTATTTTTAAATGTAAACACGTTTATTACGCACCATAACAATGTAAGTTTGATTATCAAACATATATATATATGTTATTTATATTGTCTCTTATGTTTACCTTCGTGGCTTATAAAACATTTTTGAAGCATTTAAAACCCTAAAAAGGTGGGCTTGCTGCACCCATGTCTATCAATATAAGAACAGACTTTTAAAAACAAACTGAACTTGTGAGAAGTCCGCTAGGTTACTTCTTTATATTCAGATTTATTACCCTATTTAAAACACATAACTCAGTAAGAAACCAGACATTACCTATTTTATTCGGAGTTTAGATTTCTCTGTCGCAGCTTATGTACATTAAATCTTTCTTTTTCTTATTAACATACATCAGATATCTTAAGCCTTCCTTGACCATTCTGTCATATTAATTAGATTGGCACGCTATGTTACCAAATTAACTTATGCCAAAGCCAAAGGGCATATCTCTATGTGCAAGAAAAGTAAGTAGGCTTAACTTTACTATTACCGAATTTACTCAAGTTAAAAAACAAAATATATCTGTTACTTTTTAACTTTAAGATAAATTATTTACATATTTCGTACAAACACAGGAATAAAGAATTAAGTGTATCTGCGCATATCTATATTACCACGCGCATTTATATGTAACTTATGCTGTTTTTTAATTTTCAACTATAATTCAAAAACTGATAACGTTAGAGCGACTGATTTTACAGCAGTGCTTACTTTGACGATTTAAGCTTAACCCAAATGTGCTAAGCATGCTGAACTTCGTGAAGTATTATGGGATGTATGGTTAGAAACACCATTTATTCACAACAATGTAATTTTTGATTACGTGTTAATTATATATAGCTATAGATTGTCTATATATGTGCAATTTCATAGGTCTTTTATAATTTAAAAAAATGCTTGATTAATGTATAAAACTCCAAATAGACTAGGTTTATTACGATCTTTACATTTTAGAAAAGTTGCATCTAATATACAGAACTACTCTTAAGATTCTAGACATAATCTTTTATGTTCATATATATATACGCTCTAGATGTTTTATCTAAAATAAAACTATATAAAAACTATGAACACTATTTTGTATCAATGTTTACTCTCTAGAAAAGATGTATCTAAAATAAAAACTCAGTAAGAAACTAGGCACACCATTTTGTATCCATATTTACTCTCTAAAAAAGATGTATCTAAAACAAAAACTTAGTAAGAAACTAGGCACACTATTTTGTATCAATGTTTACTCTCTAGAAATAATGTATCTGAAATAAAACTAACTAAGAAACTAGGCACACTATTTTGTATCAATGTTTACTCTCTAGAAAAGATGTATCTGAAATAAAACTAACTAAGAAACTAGACACACTATTTTGTATCCATATTTACTCTCTAGAAAAGATGTATCTAAAACAAAAACTTAGTAAGAAACTAGGCACACTATTTTGTATCAATGTTTACTCTCTAG